TTTTTTTGAGACAGAGTCTCACTCTGTCGCTCAGGCTGGAGTATAGTGGTGCAATCTTAGCTCACTGCAACCTCTGCCTCCAGGGTTCAAGCAATTCTCTGCCTCAGCCTCCTGAGTAGCTGAGATTACAAGTGCCCACCACCATGCTCAGCTAATTTTTAAAATATTTTTAGTAGAGACGGAGTTTCACCATCTTGGCCAGGCCTGTCTTGAACTCCTGACCTCATGATCCACCTGACTTGGCCTCCCAAATTTCTGGGATTACAAGTGTAAGCCACCATACCTGGACCAGAATCCAATTTTATACCACCTAAGCAGCTATATTCAAGTTTGAAGTTGTCTATGATTCATATATATTGTATTAGTTTTCTAAGGCTGCCATAACAAAGTGCCACAAACTGAGTGGTGTCTTAAATGACAGAAATTTACTGTTTAGTAGTTCTGAAGGTTAGGAGTTGATCATGATATGGGCAGGGCTGGTTCCTTTCCAGGGCTGTGAAGGAGAATGTGTTCCATCTTCTCTCCTGGCTCTTGGCATTTTGCTGGCAATCCTCAGTGTTCCTTGTCATCAGAAACAATAAGAAACCTTGATCTCTGCCTTTATCCTCACTTGGCATTCTCCATATATGTATGCTTCTGCAACCAAATTTCCCCTTTTTAAGGACACAGTCATACTGGATTAGGACTCAACCTAATGACCACATCTTAATCATCTGCAAACACATATGAAAAGATTTTTTCATCTGTACAAGTTGCAAGAAGTTCTAATAACATATATACATTGAGAGTAGCCTAATACTTTGGATAACATTGCTATAATATTTTTTTGTGTATATATATATATATATATATATATTTGTGAATATATATTTGTGAATATATATGTGTATATATATATTTGTGAATCTATATATGTATATATATTTATTTGTGAATCTATATATGTGTATATGTGTGTGTGTATATATATATTATATATATGTGTATATATATATATATATATATTCTGGTGGGAGTCATCCAAGTTGCTATAGTATTTAATCTGAGCAAAAAAAAAAAAAAAGGAAAGCATCTTACTTTGTTGTGCCGCATTTCTTATGTTACCATCAATCTGGCATGAGCCAAATTTAACTCAGTAAATCAGCATACATTGACTGATTGAATATTACATGCAAAATATTCTGCTATGCATTTTGGCTAATATGAATATATATGAAGATATATAAATAGAGGACCTTCCTTTTGAAGACTTCATAATATTGTGTTTATATAAACACCAAAGATAAACAGACACACAGGCCAATGAAATGGATTAGAGAGCCCAGAAATAATGCCACACATCTAGAACCATCTGATCTTCAACAAAGTTGAAAAAAACAAGAGATGGAGAAAGAACTTCCTATTCAATAAATCGTGTTGAGACAACTGGCTAGCCACATGCAGAAGATTGAAACTGGATTCCTTTCTTATACCATATACAAAAATCAACTGAAGATAAATTAAACACAACTGTAAAACCCAAAACTATAAAAATTCTGGAAGATTACCTTAACAATATCATTCTGGACAAAAGAATGGGCAAAGATTTCACAATAAAAGATACCAAAAGCAATTGCAACCAAAGAAAATATTCACAAATGGGATCTAATGAAACTTAGGAGCTTCTACACAGTGAAAGAAACTATAAACAAAGTAAACAGACAACCCATAGAAGAAAATATTTGCAAACTATGCATCTTAAAAAAGTCTAATATGCAGCACCTACAAGGAACTTAAATAAATTTATAGGAAAAAGTAACATCATTGAAAAATAACCAAAGGAAATGAAGAGACACTTTTCTAAAGAAGACAAACATGTGGCCAACAGGCATACGAAGAAAAGTGCAACATCACTGATCATTAGAGAAATGCAAACAAAACCACGGTGAAATACCATCCCATGCCAGTCAGAATGGCTATGATTAAAAGTAAAAAAAATGACAGATGCTGGCAAAGCTGCAGAGAAAGAAAAATGCTTATATACTGTTTGTAGGAGAGTAAATTGGTTTGGCTATTGTGGAAAGCAGTGTAGTGATTCCTCAAAGAGCAAAAAACAGAACAACCACTCAACCCAGCAATCCCATTACTCAGTATATAACCAAAGGAAGATAAATCATTCCACCATAAAGAAACATGCATGTGAATGTTCATTGAAGCATTATTCACAATAGGAAAGACATGGAACCAACCTAAATGCCCATCAATGACAGGTTTGATACAGAAAATATAGTACATATATACCATCAAATACTATGCAGTCAAAAAAAGAATGAAATCATGTCCTTTGCAGGAAGATAGATGGAGCTGGAGATCACTGTCCTTAGCAAACCAATGCAGAAAAAGAAAAACCAAATACCACATGTTCTCGGTTATAAGTGGGAGCTAAATAATGAGAACTCATGAACATAGAAAGGGGAACAACAGACACTGGGGCCTACTTGAGGATGGAGGATGGGAGGAGAAAGGATCAGAAAAAACATCTAGTGGTACTAGGCTTAGTACCTGAGTGATGAAATAATCTGTACAACAATCCCCTGTAACACAAGTTTACCTATATAGCAAACCTGCAAATGTACCCCTGAACCTAAAGAAAAATATTAAAAAAAAAAAAACACACCCCAAGGATACAAAAGCATTTAAGTTTACTGTCTGCGGTTTAAGAAAAATTTTATACAGTTGTTCAGTTTTGCCCACATCTCATCATTGCAAAATTTGTTTGTACTCTGAGGGATTAAAGTTGTAAAAATTCCTTGAATCCTGAAATTCTATGGGTTTATAACATTAATTACATTGAGAATGATGGTAATAGAACAAGCACTAATCAACTGTTAAATTTAAAACCTTTTTTATTGTGGTTTAAATAAAATAAAATAATGATCCATTTGCACAAAGTTTTAAATAATGGTGAACTTCTTTGCTGCTCTAAGATTAACAGTTATATTTATTTGACACTCAAGAAAAATTATCCCGAGGTATCAACTTCATGGCTTTAGTTGAGAGTGAAGTTTTAGGCATAGACTCTACTCTGGGTAAGTAACTTTCTGCTAAATAGAAATTTTTTTTTTTCCGGTTTAAATAGAAAACAAATAATGATCTATTTGCAAAAAGTTTTAAATTGTAAAACTTCTTTGTTGCTCTCAGATCAGCAGTTACATTTGTTTGACACTCAAGAAAAATTATTCCAAGGTATCAACTTCATGGCTTTAGAGAGTGAAATGTCAGGCATAGAATCTGGGTAAGTAACTTTCTGCTAAAAGTTTGCTCTGTGACCCCCTTACCAAAAACACACTCAATTAATTACTATTCTTACATTTTTTAAAAAAAGCATGATAAATGCTATACTCAATTTGTTGTGTCATGATTGTTTAAAAAAGAATAATAATGTAGGCAAGGAGGAACCGCTCTAAAAAAGTGGGCTTGTGTCACGTTCCACACAATGCTATAGATTACATAGATCCTACTGACTTCTAAAGCAATTTACAAGATTAACTTTAAAATGAGATAATTTTTATTTTTGGAATAGTGTCTTTTTATAAATCATTTTGCTATCAGATTTAAGACATATATTTAAACTCGGAGAAGATAAATTTGGCATTGAACTTTTATCTCCCCTATGATATCATCCACTAAGAATGATGTTAAATACAACTCCAGATCTTTTATTATTTGACTGTAGAGAAAATTATATGTTTAAGTACCAAGGTAAAGTGAATACAGTTGATCAATTAGATCTATCTCACATGATGATAAAATTATAATCTTCAGAGTATACTTCATTCTGGACATTTAAATTATCCAGACAGCCGAGCTGTAAATATTATGGATTAAAACATTTGTTTTCAGTGAATACATTTCTTAACTCTTTTATGCATTTCACTGTTAAGTAGAAGTGTTCCATAAAATTTACGTAAAACTTTAGTCATTGGTATATAATAGTTGTTTTTAAATAGAAAAATATGATTTTAGACACAGATATATAATAGAGAGATTTCATTTTAAAGGATATGGGTTCTGAAATTTGCTTTATTGATATCAGTTTGATATTAATTTGTTGCCTCATTACAGAATCTGCCTTGTGAAAAAGCATGGGTTCTAACTGGTCTAGCATGGGTTCATGGATATTATTTTCTATGTGTCATTTCTTTCCATGCTGTCCAGAATAACTTATTCTTCACTGTGTTCAACACAATCATTCAAAATTTTGAACCTCTACAACCGAACAGCATTGGCTCAAAGGTAATTCCCCAACTTGCATCCTTTGTTCTCTATTAATTACCTTGCTTTCAACAGATCATAAGAAAACATAATCTCCACCACTCAATAATTAGGTAGACAAACAAAATTGGAGACAGCCTACTATAAAATCTACATATATACATATACACATATGTATGTGCATGTGTGGGAGTGTGTGTATATATATGAGTAATTCTGCAAACAAGACTACAAGATTTTTCATAGAGCAAAAGTTTCATGACATTGGAATTGGCAATGATTTATTTGATATGACATGAAAGGCACAGACAACAAAATAAAAAAAAAAACAGACAAATTAGGTTTCATAAAATTTTTAAATGCATGCATCTAAAGACAATATCAACAGAGTAAAAAGGCAACTTACAAGATGGGACAAAATATTTCTAAATCATATAGCTGATAAGGGATTAATATCCAGAGTATACAAATAACTCCTAAAACTCAACAACAACAACAAACACACAACCTAATTCATAATAAGGAATTAATATCCAGAATATATAGAGAAGTAAGAGAAAGTCAACATAAAACAAACAAACAAAAAAACCCAATTCAAAAATGGGCAGAGGACTTGAATAGAATTCTCCAAAGAAGATATATGAATGGCCAATAAGCACCTGAAAAGATGCTCACAAAATCACTAATCATTAGAAAATGCAAATTAAAACTACAATGAAATAGCAGCTCACACTCAATAGCATAGCTACTATCAAAATAACCAGAAAATAACAAGTGTTGGCAAGGATGTGGAGAAATTGCAACCCTTGTGCACTGTTGGTGGAAATGTAAAACAGTCTAACCACTGTGGATAACTGTATGTCAGTTACTCAAAAAATTAAAAATAAAATTACTTTGTGATCCAGCAAATCTACTCTGGGTATATATACAAAAGAAAATAGGGTCTCAAAGAGACATTTGTACAACCACATACATGGCTGCATTATTCACAATAGCTAAAATGGGGAAGCAGCCCAAGTGTTGATTATGAATTTATTGATAAGCAAAATGTGATATATACATACGATGGATTATTATTCCACCTTATAAGGGAAGGAAATTGTGAAATATTTCATGTCAGAATCGGTTAACTTTGAGGACATTATTCTGTGTGATGTAAGCCAGTCACAAAAGGACAAATAAATGTATGATTCCACTTATATGAAGTACCCAGAGAAGTCAAATTCATAGAGACAGAAAGTAGAATGGTGGTTTCCAGGGGTTAAAGGTTGGAGGGGAAATGAAGAATTACTGTTTAATGGATATAGAGTTTCAGGTTACAAAATAAGTTATAGAGATGGATGGCAGTTATGGTTGTACTGCATTATAAATGTCTTTAATCCCACTGAATTGCACACTTAAAATGGTTAAGATGGCAAATTTTATGTTGTATGTAATTTATATTAAAATTGGGAGGAAAAAAGACTCCAAAATTTTCTAAATGTTCGACATTTATGAGATTCTAGGTATAAGTAACTTTAGGGAGTATACTAGACCCACATCAATAAATATGGTCAATTGATATACATGATTTTTATATGAATGGTCTATATTAGATGCCATTATAATTTCTTAGTAAAGTAACATTTTCAATTTCTGGAGGTTTATTAGTAAATCCCATGCCAAATTTAGGGCTACTTATTGGAAATATCTGATTTTAAATAATGGAAAATATTACACATAAAATACACTTTCAGCAATCTTGGAGATATCTCAAAAAGGTTAAGTCATCATTTTTCAGAAATGTTAACAGCTGTTGATTTGGAGAAATATGCTATGGCAATATGCCATAAAGCAAAACAAAACAAAACAAAAAAATAAGTGTCTTTAAAATCAGACAGAATTAGAAGTTACAAGGGAAGACCATGCAAATTTTAGTTCCAATTTGAATTTAGCTGCTTCTCACATGGGGAACTATAGGTAACATGCCCTAGTGTGAGTAAGAGCAGGAATTATTTATGTCACTGTAGTTAATTATAAAGCAAGGCAATATAGGAAGTCTGACACTGTAACAGTAATGGCATAAATCTTGCTAGTGCCCACATAATGAGTCATCCTGCTCATGAAATTGCATTTGTAATAACATTTAGTATTCTTAACATTAACACATTCAGCGAAGGCTAAATTGGTCAGTAACACCAGCAGACAACAGATGACTTAAAATATTCTTACTCAATTCAGTAGCAAGAAAACAAATCCAATTAAAAAACAGACAAAGGACCTGCATAGATATTTCTCAAAATATGGTATGCAAACGGCCAACAAGCATATGAAAAAATGCTCACTATCATTAATCGTTAGGGAAATCCAATTTTAAACCATAATGAGCTATCATCTCACACGTATTAGAATAGCAAATATCAAAAAAGATGAAAGACAACAACTGTTGGTGAGGATGGTGAAAAGGGGACACTTGCACACTGTTTGTGGGAATGTTAATTAGTATAACTATTATGGAAAACAGTATGTAGATAACTCAAAATATTAAAAATAGAACTACCATATGACCCAGCAATCACACTCATGGATATACATCCTAAGATAATGAAATCAGTATGTAGAAGAGATATCTGCACTCTATGTTTATTCCAGCATTATTCACAATAGCTAAGACATTAAATTAGCCTAAGTATCCATTAACATATGAGTAAAGGAAATGAGTTACATATACACAATGGAATACTATTCAGCCTTAAAAAAGAAGGAAATCCTATTATTTGCAGCAACATGGATGAATCTTAAAGATATTAAATTAAGTGAAATAAACCAGATACAGAAAGACAAATACCACATGATCTCACTTTATGTAGAATATTTAAAAGCCATACTCATAGAAACAAGGTAGAATGGTGGTAACCATGGCCTGAAGGAGAGAGGTTGGACAATATTGATCAAAGGATATAAAATTTCAGATAGATAGAAGGGATAATTTCAAGTGATCTATTTGTACATGATAACTATAGTTAATAACAGTTTATTATATTCTTAAAAACCAAAGGTGGGTACACTTAAGTGTTTTTACCACACACACAAAAAATAAATATGTAAGGTAATGCATATGTGCAATTTTTATTTGTCAATTGAAAACACAAATGAATTTAATTTAAAAAGAAATAGGCATTCAGGGGATCCTAAGGATATGGGGAAGGGGAAGATATTGGTCAAAGTTTTGGTTAGAAAGGATGAATAATTCCTGGAGATCTATTGTTCAGCATGGTGACTATAGTTAATGATAAAGTATATTTGAAAACTGCTAAGAGAAGATCTGAAATGTTGTCACCACACACACACACACACACACACACACACACATTAATATGTGAGGTGATGAATATATTAACTGGCTTAATTGTAGTAATCATTTCATAATGTATACACACATCAAAACATCACATTGCATTCCAAAAATATACACAATTTTATTTGTCAATTATTCCTCAATAAAGTTTGAAATATAGAAGAGAAAAATATAAACATATATAATATTCCTGGGGAATAAAACTGCCTCACCAAAATAAGCTCTGCAATTATCAAATAATAAGAGATGAGTTTCCTCAAAAAAAATTGAATGCCAAGTGGTAGTGATAATTCAATTGACAGAGATGAAAACAAACTAGTTGAAGCAAATAGGAGACTTATTGGAGGACATTATTAGAAAAGATCAATTGGTGGTAGAGAAAGGCTCCTGTCAGATATTTCTATTTCTCTCCCCCTCTCTCTCTCTCTCTCTCTCTCTCTCTCTCGTGTGTGTGTGTGTGTGTGTGTGTGTGTGTGTGTGTGTGTTTGAGAGATTGAAAGAGAGAGAGAAGGAGAGAGGCACCAGCAGGCAGGCAGGAAGGCAGGAAGATGAAAAAGAGGGAGACTGATAGAGAGAGAGGATGTGTTGAAAAGCCAAAGCAATAGCTATAACAACCTTTTACTTATGGAGCCAAAATATAACAGAAAATATAATAGAAATCAAATATACACTGTAAATATATTTGAAATATCTAAATGTATGTAAATAACTTAAAATTAATATAAATGTGGGGTTTTGGGGGTTTTGTTGTTGTTTTCTTTTTTTGAGACGTTGTCTCACTCTGTCACCCAAACTGGAGTGCAGTGGCATGATCTTGTCTCACTTCAACCTCCACCTCCCAGGTTCAAGTGATTCTCCTGCCTCAGCCTCTCTAGTAGCTGGAACTACAGGTGTGTACTACCATGCCCAGCTAATTTTTGTATTTTTAACAAAGATGGGATTTTACCATGTTGGTCAGGCTGGTCTCAAACTTCTAACCTCAGGTGATCTGCCTGTCTTGGCCTCCCAAAGTGCTGGGAATGCAGTTGTGAGTCACCACACCTGGTCAATATAAACGTATTTTAAAATACAGTAGAAAATAAGTGTCCACTCCAAACAACAAATAAATGTTGGAACATAATTTAAAGGCTGATATGGTTTGCTGTGTCCCCACCATATATATCATTTTGAATTGTAACTCCCACAATTCCTACATACAGTGGGAGGGACCCAGTGGGAGGTGACTAAATTATTGGGGCAGGTGTTTCCTGTGCTGTTCTTGTGATAGTGAATGAGTCTCATGAGATCTGATGGTTTTAAAAATGGGAATTGCTCTGCACAGGCTCTCTTTTCAGCTGTGGCTGTCCATGTAAGATGTGAATTGCTCCACCTTGCTTTCCGCCATGATTGTGAGGTCACCTGAGCCACGTGGAACTGTGAGTCCAGTTAAACCTCTTTCTTTTGTAAATTGCTCAGTCTTTGGTATATCTTTATCAGCAGTGTGAAAATGGACTAATGCACAGGCCTACACTCATGAAATTTTCTAATCAATGGCTTCATTTTGGGAAGGCAGACAGAATTCACATATGTGAGAGTAATCAACCCATTCAGCTGTTTTAAATGAAGGGCACTTGCTATAATTAGAAACTAGCAAAACTCCACAAAATAATCAATTTGATCAACAAATTAAATTTCATTTTCTGAATATTTTCCTTTACAATTATGCACTAACTTGTTTTTAGTTAACTGCCACTTGGAGCTGAGAGATTAATTCAGACAGCTAATTTCAATCATGAAAATGACAGGAGATTTATGGCCTGTACACTTTGGATACTAAATCAGTTTTCTAAGGAATAGATGCAAGGGCATTGCAACATATGTGATGCACTTTGAAACAGATATTTTCCAATCCAACACCTGGCTCTGAGGGAGAGGGCTCTAAGGGATGAGTAACTTGTTTCTGTTCTCCCAAATATAGTCCCTTGGTTTATCATGTCTGATTCCTTAAGGTACAGGTACCATCTGAGCTTTTATGCCCTACCTGTGGAGAGACCCATTTTGTTAGGCATGTAAGGAAGTATCTAGAGCACATTAGTTAAGGTCATGCTACAACCAATATTTTTCTCAAATCTTAATAGCTTAAATTTATTTCTTATTCTTGTAAAGACCAGGATGTTATGCAAATGGTCATTCATGACCCATCCTCCTTTCATGTTTTGGCTTCTTAGTGCTTCATTAGTGCACTCCCCTGAATTCCATTGCATTCAGTTGGAAGACAGGATAAAAAGAGAATGGACTGTTGACTGGGAGGTTGCTTATAGGATAAAGTTGAAAGTGGCATATGTCATTTCCACCCACATTTTATTGGCCATAACTCAATCATATTTTGCAAATAACTGCCAGGCAGAAAGGCAGACTGGTTTGGTTAACAAAAGCAAGTCTGCTCAATGAGGAGATACCAAAACTTTGTATAGTCATACTATAACTTTATAACCAAACTGCTATAACATTCCTTTTGAAAACAAAGAACACACAAACTTCATTCATGTAACTACTTGCACATTAAGTAACCCAACTGGTCATTTTATTATAGCTATAAAAGAGAAAAAGACTACCTGGATATAATTGAAAAAGCTGGGTGATACCATTTGGATATTCGTTTCCACCAAATCTTATGTTAAAATGTGACCCCCAATGTTGGAGGTAGGGCTTAGAGAGGTGTCGGGTCATGAGGGTGGATGCCTCATGGATGGCTTGATGCCTTACCTGCAGTAAAGAGATCACAGGGCTGGGCACGGTGACTCAAGCCTGTAATCCCAGAACTTTGGGAGGCCGAGGCAGGTAGACCACGAGGTCAAGAGATTGAGATCATCCTGGTCAACATGGTGAAACCCCGTCTCTACTAAAAATACAAAAATTAGCTGGGAATGGTGGTGCACACCTGTAGTCCCAGCTACTCGGGAGGCTGAGGCAGGAGAATTGCTTGAACCCAGGAGGTGCAGGTTGTGGTGAGCTGAGATTGCGCCATTGCACTCCAGCTTGGGTAACAAGAGCAAAACACTCTCTCAAAAAAAAAAAAAATAGTTCACAGGAGATCTGGTTATTTAAAGGGTATGGCACCTCCTCCCTCTCTCTCTCTTGCTCCCTCTCTTGTGGCTCCCCTTTGGCATTCTGCCATCATTGTAAGCTTGCTAAGGACTCACCAGAAGCAGATGCTAGCACTACACTTCTTATGAAGCCTGCAGAACCATGATCCAAAATAAACCTCTTTTGTACATAAATTATCCAGTCAATATAGTCCTTTATAAAAATGCAAAAGAGACTAACACACTGGGCATAAAAAATACTAATGGATCAATATAATACTGTTTTAGTTGCATTGATTTTTGAGCTGAAAAAGGCAGCTGTTCAGTATTTTTACAAACGTTTTGTCAAAGTTATGGTAATTAGCCAACCCTTTCAACCTTTCTAATTTGAAGCAATTGCTATATTCTACAGAATACATTCTCAGAGAATGGTTAAATCATTATTTCCCTGGGATCTCTGGTCCCAAGTCTTTGAAAAAGGAGAATTCTTCCAGCTTTACACAAGTTAATTGCCAGTAACTGGTCTACACTAACATGGTTAGAAATGCAAAATGGGCATACCTGGGATCTCCTGACCATTCCAACTTCATCATTATTTTTATTACTTAACTGCCTCTGTGAATTCTGTGTTACTAAAGCTGAACTGCTACATCATTGATTTTATTTTATGAATTATTAAATTTCCCTATTATCAATAATGTTCCTTTTAGTTCAGTTAGCTAGGTTTTCTTTGCCTCAATATGTTCCATCTTCAGAATTGTTTGCTCTTTTTCACAGAGGAAATATCTTTTGAAAGTTTCAATGACTCCAAAAAGATTTCTTCCAACAATTTCTTGCCTCTTGTAGTATTTTTCAAAGAAAGGCAAATATTCTAAGACCTTCTATATTATTCATATTTTTAATAATGTATATATTTTTCATAGTCTCTCATGTTGTTTGATTTTATTTATATTTTTACTCATCTTTCCAAAGACATATATATGTGTATACACACACACACACACACACACACACAATGCCTTTTCTATTTTACTATTCTATTTCTTTATGCTTATCTTTTCTGTAGTTTTTTCAAAGTGACTAATTTTATAGAAAGGCTATAATTTTTGAAACAAGAGTATTTACTCTCTCAAATATGTCAAAATAATTATACTTCACATCAATGTTCACATATTGTATTCCCAACTTTGTTTTTAGGTGACAAGAAGATTATATTATTTTGTTATTCTAGTGGCATGAAATTTATGCATATATTTTTAACTAGATCTGATCTAGAAAGTGTTAATACATAACAAGATTATGGACATAAGAATTATTCTACTGAATAATTAAAACATTGTCTTAAAAGTTGACTGGAAATTCTCTCCCACATTCTGAATTTTCATTTCTCTATTCTTTATTCGTGAACCAAGTTTTGCATATTATGTAATACAATATAGAGGAATAAAAAAGAAGAAAGTAAAAATCACCCTATAAGGTTTTTTTTTATTTTTTAAGAATACATGCAAGGGTGTTGCAACATATGTAATGCACTTCAAATACTCTGGGTTGTCTGAGTTTTCAGCAACCAGAACTATACTGTGCATGGCTTATATGACGAATAGAAAAGTAATTACAAAAGAAATGCTATAGCGATGACAGAAACCTTGGGGATCATGTAGCTAGAGCTTAAGTACATTACATAAATACCAATAGAAAAATACAGGTTTCAGGACCCCATTTCAGAGTACAGATAATACTAGGTGGAGAGTTGTTAGATGTTGGAAAATTGTGTCATTCTACTACCTCATTTGGTGACTGGGAAGCATTCTCTATGTTTGACATCTACTGATCTGGTAAATCAACTGCTTCAATTTGCAACCATAGAAGAACTGGGAGATTAACTAGTTAATTTAGGATTATGTAACTAGATGAGCTTAGAGTCTCCTCTTTATCAGCCACCAGTTCTGTGCTGCTTTCCCTATTCAATTCAATTCATCCAATTCAATGGAAGAGCAATTATTGGCCAGTTTGGGTGTTGTATTGTTCCAATCTTGAATGATTAATTTTAGGTATATTAATAGAGATATTTTAGATACAGTTTTCTTAAATCAGGATACATTGAAAATTTCAGGAGTACTTAAATCTTTTAGAATTATGTTAATTTTTGATTGTTTACATAAATCCACTTCCATCAATGAAGTTTCCATAGCTTTAAAGTTTCAAAGAGGATATGCTCCTGTAGAAATATTAAATTCTATTAATAAATCCTTATCTCCAGCTGATTTGTTTTACAAGGCCATGTTAGAAGTAGAGCATAAAAGCCAAAAGTTTTGGAATATATTTAAATTTACCCATCTTCCTCAAAGATGTAGGCTATTGAAGATAATTCAGTTTATTGTCACAATTTAATCATTTCTTTGTTTGCTTTCCTATTTGCACATAAAAGTTGTACAAAGCAAAACATACTGAATATTCCCTTTATGATTTTTATTCTCTACTTTTAGCATTTCAGAAAAATGAAGAGTAAGAAAACAAGTCAAGGAAATAACACATCTGCATAATAACATCATTCACTTTGTTTCAGCATGCCTAGTATTTGGAAAGTAATTACATTCTCTTGTCAGACAATGAGGTTCTAAAGTAAAAAAGAAAAGCTTTTCATCAGATGTCTTTATTCAGCATTATATTTTATATAGAAGTATCAGTATTATATGCTTAAAAAGAATGCAAGGAATATATATATACTGCTTTGGTAACAGGAAAAAATTTCAGAAGAAAACAAATATTTTTTATAAGAATAGATTTTTCTATTTCTAGATGTTAGAAGAGCAATTACATTCCTTTGAGCAGCTGATGGAGGACATCATCAAAATGGAAGTACCTCTTTGTGAGAGAACAGTCAGCTTACCTTTATATTAATAGATATTACCTTTGGGATATATCTGTGAGAAAAGAAAAGCTATTTCAGTAAATGGTATATCTATTGTACTTCTCCACCTAAGTCAAAATACTCTTTCAGATGGCTTCTTTAGTTATATTACTTGTAATAAAAAAGATATAAAATTTCACAAAATGCTCTTTTTTTAAAACCAAATTAAATCTCATTGGTATAAAGTAGTTCATATTATGTCATAATTCTGGCTTTTTGTATTGTCCTTTTGACTCTGCTGGAGATCTGACTAGATAAAAGCGTATACAGAAGTATATATTCTCCAATTGTTTAGACATTACATCATGATAATAGCGAGTCTAATAAGATAAAATGTTACTGACAGAGCCAAAAAAAAAAAAAGAAATCAAATGAGGTGTTAAAACTTTCACAGTATAATTTAATACACTATTTTCTCCACTGACAAGTATTTTGGAAATAAAAATCTTTTATAATAAATTTACTTATAAAATAAACTTGTAACACATTAGAGGCTCTATTAGATATTATCTTAGCAGAAATATCTCTTTTCACTAAGCTTCATGTATGTGAAACTACCTATGATGAAATATTTTATGTTGATTTCTATTATGACCAAAACAGTTTAAGAAAATATGGCTTGACCCAAGGCAAACCTATGAATTGCAGAGAATTTTTTCTGACGATATCATTTTTACTACATGACATGCTTTGTTTTATTCAGATGGTTACTTTTTCCCCATTTTCAATTATCCAACACTTTTCTATTATCTAGCTTGTTCTTCCTCCATGCAAACATAATTAGAGCTGATAACAGCTATTTGAAGATGTTAACCCACTCTTTTTCTCTAGAGTTGGTGTAGTAGCTCAGCCAAGCATTAAACTTCTCTCTAATTGTAGAATAAAATTGTTTTTAATTAAAGTTAATTAAAATAGGGAGACTCCAAATGACATTATATTTCCTAAAATGCAGAATAATTCTGAATGCAACTCTGGTAGCTTTTTGAGGATCTTCAGTGGTAATAATAGGAGAGTGCAGAAGCCGAAAAGATAGAATTGGGTCTTTTTGTCCATCTGTAATGGTAAAGTTAGACAGTGAGCTAATCTAGCTTTGTCTGCTGAAGGCTTGTTTAACAGAGGGCTTGGAGTGTGAGTGAGCATGCCTGGAATACTAAAGCATTTCTAAGGGCTTATTTTTGTGTGATACCATATAAAAATAGTTAAATAATTAAACATATAACCATAACATATTATTGGTTTCTAATGTGACAATGGTAATCATCAAAAAATAAATCTGCAAGTAAGTTTAATAAATAAATATATTTCCTTAAAAAGAGTGTGTGCTTTTTATGTAATTATGAGTAGTTACATGGCAAGATATCTCATCTAGGAGATATTCTTTTTTAATTGTAACTATTCATTGAAGATATAGGATTTCATAAATTGAGAGATAAAAGGAAAGGAGCTTGACAAATTGGTAAAGAATTTCAGATATGGCAAAGAATAACATTGCAGACCATGCAACAAAGAAAATCTATAGAATTTATTTCTGTTTAAATTTGTTTACCTGAATGGAAAACTATACAGACAACCAGGTTTTAAAGGGCCAGGAATTTGGTGAGAAAAGTGAGGCAGGTGTAACACTGAGGTGAGCCTTACATTTCTCTTGGAGGAATGTTTTAGTTTCTAAATAGCACAAGGCCAAATGACCAAGAAGACAGCCATAAAGCACATAGAAACTTAAGCTAAGACTTTGGCCTTATCAGGATCTCTGAGGATCTCTAAAGATAAAACTTGTAGTTTAAGAAAGCAGGATGTCAAGAAACTAAATTACAAAGAAAAATGAAGAAGAATGAGAGAAGTCTGGCATTGTGTCATGTTTCTCCTTAAGACATTTGCTAAATTTTATCTGGTATAGGGCTATCAGCCTATCATATGAAGTCAAGAGTAGCAGCTAAAGATATGGGCAGCAAAATGGGGTAGTTGGCAGTTTCCCAGGATGGAAGAAGAAAAAATTGGAGAAGGGACTCTAGTTAATATCACTGACTTTTTATTATTAATAAATTCACAGAAGGTTATACTCTAAAAATATGGGTACTAAGAATTATATAAATTCTTAACAAAAATGTGAAACCAGCTCTGGTCAAACACAAGCCCAGATTGGAAAAACAGGTTTGCCCCATATTTAAGGTACCTGAGAAAAAGCTAAAGGAAATCCTCCCTGATAAAAGAAAATATGTGACAAAACATCAAATTATCTCCATAATTTTCATGAGCAATAGTCTACATTTGATCAAACTTATTAGGCATGTCAGGAGACAGAATCAAAAACCAGAAAACTAAACAATAATATAAGCATATCCAAAGGTGAATCTGAGTTGGAGTTATCTATGACAGATTTTAAAATAATAAAGAATAAAATGCTTAATAAAATTGTTGGCAAGATCAAGAACCTCAGTACGTAACAGGAATTTATAAATAATAACCAAATGTAAATTGTAGAATTGAAAATTTTAACATTTAAATTAAAAATTCAATAGATGTGTTTAACTACAAACTGCTAAAGAGAGGATTTTTGAACTAAGGAGAGATTATTGTAAATCATACAGATTGAAATTCAAAAATAAAAGAGAATCTATAATATACAAAACAGCATACAAGACACATGAGACACAATTTAATATCTGTAATTGCATGTATATAATAAGAGAAGAGAAATGTTAAAGAAGCAATATTTGGAAAGATAATAAGTGAGAAACTTTCACAGCCAATAGAAAGACATCAACCCACAAAATCCAGAGCATTAATACACACCAAGGAGGATTGGGGCAGAAGATCAGAAAATCTAAGAACATTAGAGTAAAACTGGCCCTTTTTTCTTTTTCCCATGTATTTATTTTATTGCATTTTAAGTTTTGGGGTACATGTGAAGAACATGCAAGATTGTTACATAGGTACACACGTGGCAGTGTGATTTGCTGTCTTCCTCCCCATCACCTACATCTGGCATCTCTCCCCTTTCTATCTAAAAGAAAAGTTGTAAAAGCAGTCAGATAAATAAAAGACATTATTTTCAAAGGAAAGATACTTTATTAGAAACTATGGAGGGCAGAAGACAATAGAATGACATTTTTTAAATACCCAAAGGAAATATACCAATCTGGACTTCTTTATTCAGCAAAAACATTCCTCAAAAAGGAAATTGAAACAAAGATGCTTTCAGACAAACAATTGAGAAAACTCAACAGTAGACTGTGCAAACATACATATTAAAAGGAGTTCATTAGACAGAAGACTAATGATCCAAAGAGAAGCATAGAAATGAAAGAAGAAAAAAAAATAACAATGAAAGAGTTAAATATGTGGGTAAATCAAAATAAAAATATCTTAAGTAATGATGACAATAATCTCTTGTGGGGTCAATAGATATAGAATTGAAAATGGTAACAATAATAAGGTTTTAAATGATATGAAATCGTTTAAAAATCTTTGCATTGTAAAGAATGTACTACATATTGATAACTAATAAAGATTATAAGTAAAGTCAATGGACCATTTCTCTCTGCCATAACTAGATATATAATAGAAGCAAAAGTATAATTTGTAAGGTGAAATTAAAATAAAGACATTATTGTACACATTGCTTTCCTATACAATCAACTGATGAATTAATAATTCTAAATGATGAATGTTCTATACCAGCACTCTCTAATAGAAATATAATTTGAGCCATAAAAGTAATTTTATTTTTCTAATGACCACATAAAAAGCAAACGGATGAAAATAATCTTAATGGCATATTTTATTTAACGCAGTAAACCTTAAATATTATCATTTCAACATGTAATAAATACAAAATATTATTAATGAGATATTTTATACCTTTTTTTGTAAAACTGTCTTCAAAATCTGGTATTCATTTTAGACTTACAGCACATTGCAGTTTGCAATAGCCACATTTCCAGTGCCAAATAGTCACGTGTGGCTAGTGGCTACCATCATGAACAGCAGTAATCTAACTATTCATATAGATGGCATCTATATGAATTTGATCTACTACTCTAATAAGCAGGTTAATGATATATCAGATATTAAACTTTATAGTTTATTACTTTAACAAATAATTTTCTGTTTAGAATTTAGTTCTCCAGTAATTAAAATAATCTTAGTAATTTCCTCCTGAAATACAAAGCCATTTAATGGTGTGGGTACTGAAAAGAAAAGGAATTTTTTTCTGGAAAAGAATAACATTCAATTTTTCAAATACAGTCTCATCTTACAAAAGCCTCAAAGTCTAAACCACTGTTACAGTCCTTATTATTAATTCACCGTATAACCCATAGTTGAATATATATTAACTCTTTATATAAGAAGATTGACTTTTAATTCAAACCTGCTTGATAATGCAATTTAACCAAAAAGTTTACATGCTAAAATAAGATATAATCCTACAACAACTGACTAAAGAATAACATTACAAAAATGTATTTGTATTAAAAAGATAGGTTAATTAAAAAGCAACTCACCTGATTAAGGTAACTATTTTATCTTGGTATTAAAGGCAAATGAAAAACAAACTTTATAAAAATGGAAAAATCATGTACCGGCTATTCTTGACCAGATTAGCACTTATTTCTAGAAGAATGCAGATTGCCTTCCACTATAATCTATTAATTACACCTTGGGGCCACAAACACAACAAATTTCTAGAAGAGGGATACAAATATATTGTTTACAGGAAAGAAAAATATTTTCTGACCAAAAGATTGTATATGACAATTAATTTCTGGATTGTAAGAACGTAGTAACCATATAACTCATGGAGGACAGGTACACTCACTGATACAGTGTGACTCTGTGTTCCCACCCAAGTCTCACCTCAAATTGTAATCCCCATGTGTCAAGGGAAGGACCTGGTGGGAGGTGACTGGATGATGGGTGCAGTTTACCCCATGCTGTTCTCATGATAGTGACCGAGTTCTCATGAAATATGATAGTTTTATAAGCGTTTGGCAATTCCTCTTCCTTCTCTCTTTCATACCACCCTGTGAGGAAGGTACTTGCTTCTCATTTGCCTTCTACCATGATTTTAAGTTTCCTGAGAGCTCCCCAGCCATGTGAAACTGAGTCAGTTAAACCTCTTTCTTTTTAAATTACCCAGTCTTGTGAATTTCTTTATATCACTGTGAGAACAAACTGATACACTCACCATTTTGCATCCTCGGAGTTTTTGTTTGGCTTTTTGTTCTAGAGTGGGAGTGGTTTCTCTATCAATCAAGAAAGAATTCGGCAGAGTTACATTAAATGTTCTCTTCAGAACAGTATGCCTTAAAAATGGACTGAGCTGTGGATATTAAAAAAAAAGAATAGTACATTTTAATTGTAACATTCGTAAATTTTGAAACATTATTTTATATTAATCAATAATGAACTCATTAACATAAACTATCTAACCCACACCATTTATTGATATTTTAAATGTTTGGATTCCTAGGGCTAACATATATAAATATAATTTAAAATATGCAAAGGTAAAAATAAAATAAAATATATAAAAGTTACAAGTCATGAATTTAATGCATGTTTAATATTCTTCTAAAAGTCATTTATATTTGGTAGAGGCAAAAACCTTTGGTGAAACCTAAAATTTCTTTTTAAAAAAGAAATATATATATTTTTGCATGTATTAATATCAAATAATTTTTATTTGATATTAATACATGTAAAATTTATTCCCAAAATAAATTTTGCTTCCAATGAAAGCAGATATTGACTTTCCAGATGTGTCTTCTCTCAGCATTGATCCTTTCAAAAGTATTTGTTAAATGCATATTATCTGCCTATTTTCCTATGAACATGCAGTAACAAGATAAAGTCAATTTATGTTCACCATTCAACATGCCAATGAAAATATCAAGAAAGAACAAAATTTAAAAGAATTTTTAAAACTGTAACAAACAATAAACTCCAATTTCAATTGCTGTGAGGAATGTCCACGAAATTTCTTGCAAAAAGAAGCTGATTGAAGAATGAAATTAATGGAATAATCATTCAATCAATATTTTTTGAGTGCTTCCTACATGATAGGTATTAGTCCTAACAGAGCTATATCAATAATCCTCTTTTTTTCATTCTACCCTCCACAAGAATGTCATATAATAGGATATATTAGAAAGTTGGAAATTGAGATGCATTAGTTAGCAAGTACAAGTTGAGAATACTGCATTCTTAGATTTATAGTTTTTCATTGCCTATCTTTATGTAATAGAGAGT